TAAAAATTTGGAGAAATTTTGCAGGAGGGCTTATACAAGTGAACTTGGGGAAACCGAGACCACTTGAATACGTGGCTCATGCTTCTTTCTTAGCTTCCTTGTTTGCGGATTATCTTAATTCAACGGGAGTTCCTGGATGGTACTGTGGCCCTACCTTTGTCTCCAGTCATGTCCTTAAGGATTTTGCTAAATCTCAGGTAAGCATAAAGTCTTACTCTACATATATATTCACCGGGACCGACCGACCCTAGTGTAATAGAAATCTCATGCAAAGATAAAATGGTTTTATAAGATAAATTCTGATATTCCTTTTTTGTTGTTGGGGTATGATTTAATCAGATTGATTACATTCTTGGAAACAACCCATTAAAAATGAGCTATGTGGTTGGGTTCGGCAACAAGTTTCCAAGACGCGTTCACCACCGAGGAGCCACGATTCCAAACGACAAGAAGAGAAGAAGCTGTAGAGAAGGATTGAAGTATAGAGACACAAAGAATCCAAACCCACACAACATCACAGGAGCTATGGTCGGTGGACCAAACAAACTCGACCAGTTCCATGACATACGACGCAATTACAACGCGAGCGAGCCTACTTTGTCTGGAAATGCAGGTCTTGTGGCTGCTCTCGTTTCTTTAACCAGCAGTGGAGGCGACCGAATCGATAAGAACACTATGTTCAACGGTGTTCCTCCTCTCTACCCTCCTACCCCACCACCCCCTAAAGCCTGGAGGCCTTAAAACAGATTTCATATTCGTCTACGTGACTGAGTTTAAATTATAATATGTTACATTGGCATTTCAATCACTTGGTTATTTACAATCTTGATTTTATTGTTCCCTTTGGGATTAAACTATAATGCTGTTGAAATGAATCAATTGATTGTGGGGTAATAGACAAAATAAGAGAAATTTATTATAAGTATCATTGAGAAAATGCTACTAATAAAGACCAAAAAATGAAAATATGTATTGAAGAAAAAAATTATAAAAAAGAGAATTCAAATCCTGGTTATATATATGGGAGACCTCTAATTGAGAAAAAAAAGTCACTCTATTATTCGCTATGTTTTTAACAATTGCAACTATTATATGTCATTTAGTCAAATGAAAACGTAAAGTAAAGACAGAAAAAAGTTTAATTTACGCCTCTAATAAAAAATCCGAACAAATTTATCTCTGAATTCCACTTGATTGCGGCTCTGTTTGCAAGGCCCTAAGCAACCGGTTATGTTGCTTGTACTCAGCCACGGAACGGAACTAGTGCTGATTGTAACATTTTCTACAATGTAAACCTTCTCGATCGTCACTGGGCGAGACAAGAACCTGGTTCTAAAGGCACCACTCGTCCGCCACCAACCAAAGGTGCAGCTGCAACTCCTCTCTGATCCAACAAGCATCTGAAGTGAGCCAACCTCGTTGTTACCTTGTCAGCATTTTTAGCCAACTTTGCATACGGTGTCCACAATCGCTCTACCAAATACAAAATATAATGTTAATATTTTAGCAATTAGCATACAATTAGTGTTCTAAATTATTTTTCAAGATTTTTAAGAAAAGGTTAATTTATATATGTACCTGCTGCCGCGGCAGCGCGAGGCCAAATGGTTTGTTGAATGTCGGAAGCATCAATGTGTTCACCCCACATGCAAACCTCACCACCAAGTACTAGACTTTGTTGCTTTTGATCTTGTATGTTTTGAAGTGGCTCGTTCTCGTAAAAGTCTTGCCATGGTGTGTCTATATGGTCCAAGTACCATTTGTCTTGGTTACTCACTATACACCTTAAACCCGCTGCCGTCACTCTCTCAACAACTCCTGTACCAAGCCTGATCCACCAAGTGTAAAAATAACAAATACAAAACATTCAGTGTTAAGTTACTTCTTCTACACAATTGGTACTTCTCTCTATAGTACATGCATTTACCAGTTGTGAACCACGGTTTTTGGACTTAATTTGCTTCCAAAATTGTTGAAGGTTTCTTCCCTACAGTATAAACATTAGAGAAAAGTATAGTAAGACCACGCAATTTTTGGTTAGCTTCATTTTAATTGTCTAATGAAATTTATTTAATTACCAATTGATGATTTCAAATCCGTGCGACAAAGCAATTTTTTGCGCCTGCAGCACGAAATATTGATAAGCTTGTTCTTCACTCATCCGATGTTTTTTTAGCCTACACGTTAGAAAGTTAAAGTAACATGACAAAAATATGTTGTAGAGAACTACAGAAATGTCCAAGTAATTAACATTACCATTGAGCTATTCGCGGCGTTGTAGACCAGCAAGCTGCAACAAAGTACATGTATCGAAATTTCAGGAAACTAACACTATTGATAGAGAGGAAATATGATAAACAGAGGAGATTTCCATTACTTGTATTGACTTCATCACCTCCCAAGTGGACAAATTTAAACTTAAAGATCTTGCTGAAATCTGAATAAAATAAGTTATGAAACATATGGTCATGCATATATATATGATCATGAATGTTGAGTGAAAGAAAGTGTTTAAAAGATTTTACCAGAAAGAATGCCATCAATGACCTTGAATGTAAAGTCATTGCTCACGTCAAGTGGTTGTTGACAATTCTTAGAAGGCCACAAGGAAGGATATCCTTTCCCCCTTTATTTATTTGAATATTATTGTAGTTATTATAGTTGAAATTAAAAAAGTGAAATGATGAGAATATAAAGGAATTTGATAGTGAAGGAGGGTAACAAGGAAAGTACCATGACAGAGCGTGACCTGGAACATCAATCTCAGCCAAGACATGAATCCCTCGTCGCCGAGCATAACTGTATATACATACAAAGTGGTTTAGATACATCATCTTTTGTCCCAAATAAAAAAAAAAACTCTTAGAGTTATTCGCTGCTCTATATCCATATATATTCAAATCCTAATCGTGTGATTTGGATTTGATTCAGGATTTTTATTTATCGTTTATAGATCAGTCGAATATCAACGTACTTGACAATGTCAGCAGCGTCTTCGAAGGTGTATCGTTGAGCGGAAGAGTAAGCGCCGTTCCATAGCTTTGGATAGGAAGGAATTTCTAATGGAAATGACTGTGTATCCACAATGTGCCAATGTAACACATTCTGCACCCAGACAACCAAAGTATTTATAGGAGTTGAAATTGATCAAACTAACCAAATTGAATCGTCAAAAATCTCTTAAGAGCTTACGAGTTTGGCATATGTCATGGAATCAATCACGTTCTTTATAACAGGAAGTGACAAATAATGTCGGGAAGTATCTGTAGTCACAAACAATGTGTCTCATATCATTAGTATACGTGTTATACTGTACTAAGTAATTAGAGATTAGTAAATCATTGAAAACTCATTACCTATCAAAAGGCCACGGTAAGAGAATCTGGGTTGGTCGGTGATATTCCATGGAGTCATTAGAATCTCTATTACCTTTTTCTTCATGTTAAAGTGGCATAACTGGCTAAATGTCTGCATTATTTATAATTTTATTTATTCGTTTCCTTCAATAACTCCATAATATTTAGTTATTAGCTTGGAAAGACAATAAACACAAACCTGTAGGCCGTGCAATGCACCGTAAACGCTCTTTGCCTGTGTTGTCACACAAATACAAAGAGGTTCAGGATTGTATTATTATATTTTCCATATAATATTCTGATTAACAATACTAGTGGAAATCAGACTATCATTATATCTTCTCATGTTTTTGTCCTATTGTCTAAATAAATGGTATGGGTATGTATTTTCTAGAATAAAATCTTGGAGCTAACGACTTGTGCTTATGCACTTGTATTTAGGATAGGATAGGAAAACCGAAAAAAAGACACTCCCATTATGATTAATGCATTCACGTGGATGCCACCAGCTAATGTCCCTAACTATATATATGTGTTTTTTTTTTTGAAACTTAGCCTATACTATATGTTACATGCTCGATCTCTATTATACTACTGCATAATAGTGGCGAGAAATATATAATAAAATGTTTTCAATCTTTTTTTTATCCACCAAAAAATGTTAAAAGCCTACGCCTATAATTTCTTGGGACCAAAAACCATACGAGTTATATTTATCTATTCTCTATTGTGGGTACTCAGAACTCAAAACTTGTTCTACTTTCTCTATGGGTGGTCATGTGGTACGCGTTTGAACTAACGTATACAGTGAAATATTTAAGTAAAAAGTAGAGGTAAAAGAGATAGGTGTGTGTGTGTTTGCGATCGGATTGAGTAGATGTCGAACTCAACAATAAAAGGGAGCAAGTGAACAGGGTCGTGCCTTAGGCATGAAAAAATAGACAATTGCCTAGGGCCCCACTTGGCATCAATAATTTTAGGCCCCAAATTTTACATAATTTATAATTTAATTGATAA